AACCAAATTGGGCGTCCGACAGATCGGGGCCTACCTCGTAGAGGTGCCGGACGATGCGGGCAAAGAGAACCCTCTCAAACAATTTACCCGCCTTGTCCAGCAGCACGATGGGCCTGTAGGCCGCGACCGAATCGGCAGGCCGTCCCGGCTTCCTTAATAGGACCAGCTTCCCGCTCTTCCAGCACTCAGGGAAACGTCCCGACGCCAAGCTAGCGTCGAACACTTCCCCGAGGCGGTCTGCCATGTGGTTAAGGGCTAGGGCGAGCACTCGGGCCGGTACCCCGTCTGGCCCAGGGGCAGTATTCTTGGAACGGATCCTTAGAACAGCCGCCCCTACCTCCGAATCCCGGACGGGCGGAACATCATCCTCCTCGTGCTCCCCGTCGTCTCCGGCCAAGGAGGCCATCGCCGGGGGAGTGTGTTCCGCTCATTGCGGGAAAAGGCCCTCAACCACTTCTCGCAGGAAGCTGGGCTGGAGAGTCTCCGTAAGGGGGAGCCCGACGCGCGGAGCTTTTGTCGCGCCGCGTGGTAAGGGCGACCCCAGGGGTCACGATTAAGACCCTCGAGCATCTCCTCTCTCTTTTCTTCTTTGGCGCGGCTAATGGCCAGCTTCAGAGTTTTCCGTGCCTGTCGGTACTCCTCATGAAGCCGGTCCTCCTCACCGTCTCCGCGGTGACGCCGCCGACTGCTCGTGTAGGACCTCCGGGCACGTGTACAGGCCGCACGGAGGTCCGCCACCTCCGGGGACTACCAGTAGACCTCCTAGATTAAAAAATAGCCTGCGCTAAATTAATTTCAAGCATTTTTCTTCTATGAGTTAGGCTTTCTGACAAAATTTACGTTTTATTGCGGATTTAAATTTGTTAATACTTAAGTCTAGAATATTATTTGGGATTTTATTATAAAATCGGATAAATTGACCTTGAAACGACTTGTTTAACTTTGGAGCCTAGAGGCAGGTACTACAAGTTAATTTCTATTTCTGGTATTTAATGAATGTACATCACTTTTTTTCAAAAAGTTTTCCTTATTTTTATGAACATATATTACATTTTCATATATATATTGACATGCCACTGTCATTACGTTTATTTCTGCCTCAATGAAAAAAAAATTGCCCAAATTATGAAGTGCTCGAATCGCTCTCTTTTGCAGTACAAAAATAGTTTGAATGTCGTCAGCAGAATATGTCAGTAGAGTACCGTACGACATTATGCTATGAAAAAAACTGAAGTAAACAAGTCGTGTTGTATCAACATCAGTCAACTCTCGAATTTTACTTACTGTGTATGCTGCTGAGCTGAGTCTACTTGATAATTTATCAATATGTGGGCCCCACTAGAGCTTAGAATCTAGTATTATATCTAAAAATGGCGTAGTATCCACTAAGTCAAACTCGGCATCCTTAATCGTCACAGTAGTTTTCATTGGCTTGAAGTTTGGTGACGATACTGAAACGTATACACTTAGTTTTTTCTTCATTTAAAAGCAAATTGTTGACGTCATACCAATGAATCACTTCCTCAATATTTCTGTCTTTCATTTTAGTTTAAATAGTAGTGGGATATCATCTGCAAACAATAATACTAAAAACCGAAAAAGACCGAGAATAGAACCTTGTGGAACGCCCATTGCTACCACAAAGCCTGGAGACCGCTCACCGTTAATATCGACTTTCTGAATCATTTTATCCAGATAAGTAGCAATTAGTTCCAGTGCTTTATTTGATACCATGGTGCTGTAATTTCCTGATCAGCGTTTCATGAACAAGTCACGAACTGGAACAAGAACAAGTCTGATCCCAAACTAGACAGCCTGTTCTAACCATAGTATGGGCTCTGTCTATTTTGGGATCAGACATTTTAGTATGATTATCAGCAGTCTGGTAACCATACCAGACTGCTGAAAATCATACTAAAAAATTCCAAATACACACATATTATTAGATGAATTATACTCAGACACAGAACAAAATTAAATGATTGTACTCATCACACAATAGCATGCCTTTTTTATTTCATTAAACGTTTCTACTAGTTATTACATTAACAACAATAAATATAACACAATCAAAGAATAAACTATTAAGCTAAAAAAAAATAAAAAAAAATCACTATCATTTTTCAACGCGGCCATTTTGGTGCGCTTTAGTTAGTAGTTAGTAAACATACCTTAGTTTACAAAAAGTTCGTAAAGATTTAGGTATTTATTAGTTTCATATTTTCACAATACATTTCATGACCATGTTGTATACTTAAGAATTATAAAAGTATGTTTATGTATAATAAGCCACAAAACATGTTCGGCTAGTACTTAAATTAATTATATTCTCAATATCTAATACATAGGTATTTATCCACAAGAGTATTGCCTATGCTTGCCTATGAATGAAAACATATCCCTACCTAACTTTTTAGAGTAGAGGGAAGTTTTAAACTATTTTTAATAATCTTTCTCATTTTATTTCTGAAACCCAGAATTTCCGACTTTTTTTATACGTCCATGAATACACATAATTATTTTCAATCTGATTTAATTTCTCAAATTCTGGGTTAAAACTGGGTTAAAACAATAAACTGTGTCACTCATAGTCGGCCAGCTCGCTGTACGTACAGGCCGGCACGCACACTTACACACATTAGTCAGTCAATACGCTCGCAAACATCAAGCCAGCGAGACGTATAACGTGGTAACATATAGCAGAACCGACAACCGTTGGGGAAAACGAGTTCTTGAGCGGAGACCGCATATCGGCAAACGTAGTGTAAGACGCCCACAGGCAAAGTGGAATGACGATTTGCGCAAGCTGGAAGGAGCTGGATGCAAGAAGCCCAAAATCGATCTAAGTGGCGTGCAATAGAAGAGGCCTATGTCCAGCAGTGGACTGCGATAGGCTGATGATGATCTAATTGTGCTTTATTAAAACCGGTTCAGTCATTGTTTTAAGTCTTTCTTTACAAGGATTTAATACTTTAACACAGAAAACGAATAACGTAATATAAAACAACCGCGAAATAATACAAAATAATAATGACCAGAAATTTGACGTCATATTGTATTGGTCCACCAATATCGTTGCGTTTTAGAAATTTGTGTAAAAACTTTTTGATGTTTAAATTTCACTATTAAATTATAATAAATTTCAAAAATAATTAAATGGGTATCTATTTTTAGCAATAAAGTCTACAAATAAAAATATTTTGTCTATTTTGGAGTTACGTGCATATTCCCTATTATTTGTCCAACTTGGCAGAATGCAAAAAAAGGTCCATGGTATTAAACATGGTACGACTCAAATGATTCTTGGTATATGTTTGAATTTTTATTATTTCTTCGTCAAAGAACAAAAAGGTTATCACATTTATTTCTCCGTTGAGCGAGATAAAATTAACAATAAACACTATTGTGTCTTCATATTTTTTTTTAGTAAGACACCAAAAGCACACAACAGCATTGAGTTAAAACAACACTAGAGAAGCAAACATCATTATCACACGTCGAAAAAAGTGTAACCACTTTTGAACTTTGACGACGTAGCTTTGATACCACTAAACATTTGAAAGTAAACATATTTATGTCTCATTTACACGCGAGACAAGAACAATACCATCGCTCGGATTAGACAAAGACAAAGATATAACTTTACGATGGTGGGCCAGTGTTGACTACCGTATGAAATTTTACCCATAACAACTAAGAAACAATTTTTTTTTTAAACAATTTTGTAATAAAATAAATTAATTTAAATATTCTAAATAATATATTTCCAATTGAATAGAATAGGTATAAATAATAAAATAACTGGAAATATTTGGTTAAAAGGGTTTATATTCAGTGTAAAATCAAACTGCGCTGTGAAGCATCAGTTTTGTATACAATTGTCTTTTAGACTCTTTTTTATAAGTTTGTGTGGATATTTTACTTTCATGATACAATCTTATTTTTACGTATGTAAAAATAATAGCATTTAATAATAAAAGTGAATGATCAACTTGTACTGATAATAAATAATCCCCAGGGTGTATTGCAAATTCTATAATAATTTAAAAAACAAATAAAAAAAAATATTTTTTATTTTTTTATTTATATTTTATAAAAAAAAATATTTGTTTATTTACTTTTTTATTTTATATTTATATTTTTTATTTTTATGGTAAACATTTATTATTATTTTGTACAATTATTATTTAAAATTGATAATAAATTAAGAAAAACAACGAATTAATTCTTTTGTACACTTCTGCCAAGCTCGCAGTGCTGGAGACTTTTTTTTTTAGAACGTTCAACGGGTCCCTAAAAAAGTGATCGGTCCAGCCCTAACAACTACCGTTCTTCCTATATTTTATTATTATTGGCAAAATGTTTAAAAACAGTATAAAGCATATTATTTCATAAATTATAAATTCTCCCACTAATGTGGGAAAACCAAAATGATTTTTTAATGGTAACACTGATTCTAAATTACAATTATCAGTGTTTTATTTTAATTATAGCCTTATTTACGATATTATCAATACAAAAACCATAAACTTATACGTGAAAAGTAATTCCGCATGATTTATTAATGTTTTGTGACCTTGAATCGCATTCTTTCACTACGCATTTAGCCATTTTGGCGATTGTTACTGTCATGTGTCGCTATGTTCAACTCGGTTGACGCCACATTGAATACTGAATTGACGTTTGCTACGCATATGCCTGTGGACAGATGTGCAGTAGCAACGATTTTAGGCGGTAATTACTCATCTATGTAAGTATTATATCAATGCACAACAGTAAAACGAAACTATTTCCATTTGAAAGTTCCAAGTGGCCAATCATTACTTGCGAAATATTTTTACACTTGTTGCTCATTGGCTACAAATATGTACGTGTTTGACATTGACGTATTTAGTGTTTGGATAGTGTAAGTGTCAGACTGTCAAGTCAATACAATAATATTATTTACTTGCACTTGTTAGAAGTTTGGATGTAAATATTGTAAGATTCTATGCAATACAATGTTTAAAAGTGACAAAACATTGCATGCAGGTTCATGCCGTATATGCTTGGATTCACAGTGTAATAATATGGTCAAATTAGATCATCAGAATGGCTGGTTGGCACTATTTGAATATTGTTTTGGCATATCAGTAAGTGAATTCTACTTAAATAATATAATTTAGCAAATATGTATCAGGGTAGGTTTATGGATAAAAATAAAAATAATTTTTGGACATGATGTTTTAAACGCAAGATACAAGCTGGAAATTTGACGACCAAATTTTAATAATAACAAATTATATATTTAACTATAGGAGCCTAGATAAAATCTATTATATTAACAATATATTAAAGTGAAATATATATATTTGTATTTTAGCTCTCAATACAAGACACACCTCAAAATCTTTGCCGGCAGTGTGCAAATAATGTTACAAAGTATTCAAAGTTTAAAGATCTTTGTTTTAAATCTGATAAACTTTGGAAATCCATTTCAAATGGGGTAAGTTTTATTATACTGTAACCTTTTTAAAAACTAAGGCAACAAACCATACCAAAGCATATGATATATCAACTATGCTTTAGTATTCTAAATTGATAGATGTAAATGTATTTCAATGAGTTATTTAGTTTGATTTGATTTAATTTAATTGAATAAATTAATCACATCATTCAATTTCAATGAATAAATTACTTCTAAATCTGCATACAACCAATAAATTATTCGTTTAAAATTTAACAACCAGATAGATAATTTGACAAACAATTAGTATTTAACTCTTTGTGGACTATGAGATATTGTTCTGAGTGTTCAGTGGTAAGATTTAGTCCTCAATTATTCAAAATATTTTTATAAATGGAAAAGGATTATTTCTTATCTGCAAAGATAACAATACATGAACTTGGAGCTGTTTTTTTTTTGGTTTTCCCTGTACATTCTGCAATTTGATACAGAAGTAAAAGGTGTGTATTGCTGTCTGAATTTATGTTAAAATATATTTACAGTACATTTGAAAGCAGTAATACTTATTAACTTAAATAGTACATGGGTAAATATAAAATATATTTATATTTTATATGTATTATAAAATTTAATTTCATTAGTGATTGTTTTGTGTTATTCAATTCTTTGAGTGTGTTAACTATGAGGGTGATGTGTGTCATAAAGGTGTGGGTGTTTGTGATCAGTACTGTTAAATTGTATTAGCCTCAATTATCCTGGTAACAGAGTTGTTCATGATTGAGTCTTGTGCAAGTGTATAGTGAACATGTTGTTATGAGGTGTGTAACACTTGTAGATTTGGCTGGCAATGCCTTAATTCACTGGTTGGGCTATATTTTCATACTTATTAATAGGAAAAATATAGTAAATATAACAAAACATCACTAGATCTATATAATAGGCAACAGCCACCCAGAATGTATGTTATTCAGGTCCTATATGGAATTGCCTGATGTTTCAACGAGGTTAGGTCATCAGAAGCTCAATATGCCTTAATTACACATCGCTCATTTGCTACAAGGTCGACTTATCTCAAAATTGATGATTTTTTAGTTAATAACACAGTTGTGTAGAAAAAATAACGCTCCGTTAACTGTAAAAACCCTATTTCTCTAAAGTCTTTAGTTACGAAGACAGAGCAAATATTCACAGTTGTGCTGTTATAGCACTGTCTCTTTCGTTCAGGTTACTTGCGGCAACAATGACATTATTTAGTTGCGATGTGACAGTGCGAGCGGTAGGCGGTACTTGTGCTCTTGAAGAACGACATTTCTTAAGTAATAACGCGTTTGCCGGTAAGTTAACTACAATTTATTTTAATATATTTTCAGGAATAATGTGTTTAGTATAAATGTCTCGTTAATGCAGATAATATTTGAATAAATTAGTACGGGCTTATTTCGTGTTAAGACGATGTTGCTGAAAAAATTAATACCCATTAGAGTATTATTACTAATTATGACGTTGTTGTTAATAAAGAAAACGATGATTGAATATTACAATAAAAAATATCTATACTTATGTCATTACACTTAAAAATAATTTGCGTTATTTATTGTAAAATATTACAACATTTTGTAATAAAACGTTCTAGTCAATAATTCGAGTCAAGTTTTCTTATTTATGTCGGTCTCATAATTTATTATAACTTTTTGCATTTTAGGTGATAATGGAGTTGCCACGTGTTTCCATAGGCAAAACAATTGTAGCAATAATAACTCATCCAATGAAGAAGTTACGTCCAATGAAACCACACACTAACTTTTGTTTTCTGTTGTAATTATTGTTGTTCTCGCGTATCTACATAGAATTAAACTATAAATACGACTTTTCAGGTAATGAAAGAGCCAACCAAACAACACAAGAAATGAGATCTTTATCAAATGGGAGTAGTTCTTCTACCAGCTCGTCATCTGATTCAGATTCGTCAGATAATACGTTTATTGAAAGTTAGTAATTTAATTATTGTAGTGAATCGAATTTGCTTACAAAAATATTAAATTAAATATTAAGTTTATATTTATTTTGTAGATAGTGATGACTTGTCAAAGATCCAATATATACCTAACTGCCAGCTAACTGCCATCAACAGCCTATACTAGTCCACTGCTGGACATAGGCCTCTCCTTAGAAAGGAGGTTTCATTGACAATTCCATTGCTAATAATAATTTTCATATGATTCCATTGTCATGTCAAACTTCAACAGAAAATAGGATTCCTGAAAGTCCGAAGGCAAAACTAGGAAGAAAATACTGGACAAGCTTATGAGACTGCTAGCAAGAAAATAAAAGAAGAGAACAATGTGGAGATAAATGACGGTTAAAATGTCAATCTAAACTATCTAAAGATGAAAGGAAGACATTTTTTAACTACTATTGGTCATTAGGACATAATAAAAACAATATATGATGTCTTTGAGAACTCTTATTATTTTACAAGAACTTTTACAAAGAAGAAGAATTTAAAAGAGCAGAAATTATCAGAAATAAGAAAAGGATTGACATAAACGTCAAAAAAGCTTATGATCGTAAGCCAGGCACATCGGACAGAAAGAAAGATTTGTTAGACTTGTTAAAGAGAAATCGAATTCCACAGTTCTATGCTCGATTTAAAATTCTTTGCAGAATTTTTTAAATTTTATTTTGAATTTTATGTTCAATTTTCGTTAAAGACTAATTTTATTATTGAGGCTGATTTTGTGATACTTTTCTGTATAGATGACTAAATAATGTAGGAGAGTTGATTTATAAGACTGATGTGCTATTTTAATTCGATAACGATTAAGTGTTAATTATATACTATTCATTTTATTATGAAAAAGTTATTAATGTAACTATATTGTAGTTTACTTTTGTTTCCGATATTAATAAAAATATTTTCAAAATTGACATATTTTGTTATTATTACTATCAAGTTTACCTTAAATGTAAAATAATTATCGAGTGTAACGTCATAAGTCATAATACTACATTTTTTTTTTCTATACTTATCTGCAACAATGACATAAGTGTTTCCTTGCTGCGAAAAAAATAGCACAGTATATCATGTGTACTTTTTAAGCAAAGTTTAATATTTTAACAGAAAAGTACACTAATCGCACAATATTTTTGTCTAAATAAGTTTTCTAAAAAGCCAACGCTTATCGTATATGTTTAACTAGAAACTTTAAAATTGCTTTCCTGTAAAATGATATCTTTTGAGAAATGTCGACCTTGTTGCAAATGAGCGACATGTCTCCTTCATGTTGTAATTATTAATAAAATATGCAACCTCTGTAACTGAAGAAGCATGTTTGGTGCATTGAGTAAGTTGTTTTTTACAAAATGTAAATAAATATATACAAAATAGTTTCAAAGTAATTCTAACTGTACAGTATCTTTGTTTGTAAGTCATTGTATTTGATTTTTAGAAACATTTCACTAGAAAAGTTCAATATGATAAACATGTTAAAGATGAAATATTTGATAATGAACAAGATGGAAATGAGATTGTTACTGCTAATGAAAAAAATTGTACATACACTAAAGAGTTCAACAGTGATATGAATAATTATGACGATACTGATGACATTGCTAGTATTACAAATAAAATAGAAAAAGTCAATAATGAAAAACTAAAAGATCTCTCTGAGGAAGGAGTAATAACTTACAATGTTCATGATAAAGATATGATTTTGCTTGCTAAAGATAGATATTTGAAGCACAACCCTAATACGAATATAAACAAAGCTTTTAATAAAAACATTAGCAGAAAAGTCAAAGATTTGTTTATTTGTAAAATATGCGAAAAAAAATATGGTAAGTCTGTATACTATACTTTTCATCAAAGTGGTTAATATGGCCATGTTTTAATGTATAAAACATAGCCAAAATAATAGCATACTACAAACAGCATATATTTTAAATATAATTGAAAATATATAGTTGGTACAATTGGTTTTGTGGAAAATATTAGTGCTTAACATAATGAATTAATTACCAGTAGAATTAATTGCTTATTAAGTATCTCATAACCATAAGCCATTGAACAAACTAAAAATAAAATTATTTCAGGGTCTAAAATGTGGTATTTTAAACATTTGAAGTCATGTAAATTAGAAGAGGTAAACAACAGTACTGGTAAGGCTAACTTGTTAATTTAGTAATTTACATCCATAAATTGTGTCTCTTAGCTTTCTATAGCAGGTAAATAAGTAAAACGTAAAAAAACATAAAGGGACATCACTATGTAGGAAAGATAGGACTTTACTGAACCACCTTAGAATAATAATGCTTAGAACGATAGTTTCATATCAAAAAATCGTCGAGGTGGATCCAAAAACACAAATGACGAGGCGTAAGTCACACGTATTTACGTTTACCGATACGCACACTAAGATACCCCAAAAGTAGGGAAATTGAACACTCACGAAACATTAAAAAAGTCAAATAGGAGAGATCATTTTAAAGTTATTTTGGTATTCCGGCAAAGATTACATCTTTAACAAATGCATATTGCGACTGCTATAAAGAGATCTCGGGTTCGATTCCCGAGTCAGACCAAATGTTTGTATTATTGTAGAAATTTAATTTATTAATACTAACAACCCTGAGTCAGGCGTGCAGGGCAAGTGAATTACATTACCTAATTTTTTAAAATTTTATTTGTAAAAATTTAGTATCGAGTGTAGTTCGTTTATCATATCATCTTATGCTTTTTCGAAGTACTGTGACGCTCGTTTATTGCACAAACTGTCATTTTGGCGTTATTTTTCTAAGTAGACAACCATAATTAGCAAGTAAGTAAAAATGTTATTTCTAAATAGTTAAATATTTCGTACTACGTCTTTTTTCTAACTTTAAAGCTTTTATGCAGTACATTACATTTTTATTTATTGGTGTGTTTACTTGAAAGTTTTTTAACTTAAATTAATGGTGGTTAAAAGCTTTCAAAGGTACACCGTTATATATATATATATATATATATGTCTAAGTTCAGTTGAGGACTGAAGACGGTGACTGAAACTGGTTGATCTTCTTCTGGTAGACTTAAAGCAACACAAGTCTCATAGAATCCTAGTTCTATCAGGCTTAGTTTACTACGCCAAACCCGATACCATCCATATCGTAAAATCGTGTCGGTGGAAGTCATAACCATGGTATGTTTGTAGGTATGTTATGAACTAAGTGCGGCCTGATGAGCGGATAATTAAAATGTAATTTACTAATTCAATATGTATTGGTAAATTATATTCAAATTTACCAATACGATATGTTGGCAAGGATTACCAAGTTCTTTATTTTCATACGATCGCTAGTCTAATGTTTCTTTTCACGCGACTTGTTTTACTCAGAGTGCCTTGTGTTAAATTATTTCACACAGTGCCGGTTAATCTCAACAATCGCAATTGCAAACGCGGTCTCTGTGACGATCGAATTGATGTGAAATAAACTCACACTAGGCCCTCTGATTACATTTATTTAATACTAGCTGATCCGCAGAAATTCGTGTGACGTTCAAAAGGAATAAATTTTCCTCGTGTTTGCAACATTTTTCATTAATGCTCGACTCCTTTAGTCTGCCTAGATAAATGTGCTATCCAACACTAAAATAATTTTTCAATTCGAACCAGTAGATCCTAAGATTAGCGCGTTCTACCAAACAATTCAGCTTTATAATATTCCATTCAACATTATTCTGCAAACCGTTAGCTAGATTTCGTTGCAGCCAGGATTTGGATTTACTTAATTTAATCGATTTTTCTTGTACGGGATTTGAACGGGAAGGTTTAGGTTGTGTAAGATTACGCTGCGCTCTTACCGCCGCCCATCCCTGCAACCGTGCTCGTCTCCCGTATGTTAATTCGTTCTTATTGGGGTCACCAATATACTGCTGGGGTTTTATTTGCACTATTTTGTAGTAATAAACTACGCACTTGTTTAAACTTCATATAAGTAGGTAAGTATTTTATAAATACTTAGAACTAAATACATCGTATAAATACATCGAAGCGAATTTCTAGTGCGACTTACGAGTTATATAGTGATTTCTTGATTGTAACGGGTTTTATTTTTAGAGGCGGAGAACTGTAAATTGGCAACACTGTTTTCTGTGACAGCCGATTTCACAGTTCTACGTTAATTTGAGGTTAGTTTGGTTTGGTAATTCATCATGGATATACTCACGCCGGAGCAACGCTTGCAAATTGTTCTAATTTATTTTTAAAAACATATTGAGCATTACGTGCATTTTATGGTGCTCGAAATCGTCCATCAGAGCGATTAATTCGAGAAACTATGGATCGTTTTCGCAATACCTTTACTCTAAAAGATGATACGCATCCCGTAAGACGTCGTACAATGCGCACACAACTAGCGATTGATAGTGTGCAGCGCAGTGTTGATGATGATCCAAATGTGTCGATTCGTCATCGGGCTCAACTGGTAAAATTCTCGGAAAAAGATCTCGGATTACGTGCTTACAAGATTCAATTTGTGCAGGAATTGAAGCCACACAATCATTGTTTGCGCCGTACATTCAGTAAATGGGCTGAAGGAAACATTGCTATTGATCCACAAATCCACAGATCCACTATTGATCCGCCATGTACGCGCGAGCCGCGAGGGCAATATGCCCAAAATTATATTCAAACATTAATACCATAAAATCATCTCTCATATAAAGTCAATTTCATGAATATTATAAACATTTTTCTGTTATTGATTTTCAATTTAAAGTTCTCCGCCTCTATAAAAAGATCCTTTCATAGTGATTGTTTGTAAATACAGTGCAATAAAAGTAATTAACCGACAACTATTATTTATCGTGTACCCCGCTCGTAATAGTATAGATGAACAAAATACACTACAAACGAAGGTGTAAGTGTTAGTCGGCTATTCTATCTAAATAAGATTGACTGTTAATATGTCAAATGAAAACTTATGCGATACTTCGATAAAGGGTGTTATATTTAGAATTCTTAATACATATAATGTATTTGAGTAAATATTATAAAAGTGCAATATAATGGCATCAGGAGAAAGAGGCCTAATGTACGTGTAGGTCTATGAATTTAATTGGAAGTCCTCAACAATGCTTTACAATTATATTCTCACTAATACTCACTACATTTTGCGAATTTAGCCAAAAAGTTCGTAACATTATTTGTTATCGAGGGAGATTTAAATTATAAACATCATGATATAACATTATTCTCTATTATGTAAAACATACATATTTTTGTTCCTAACCTAAGGAGGTCACATTTATTCATACAGCCCAGTCTATTTGGTAATTTAGATCAGGTCTGGACATTATGAATAATGCTGTACTTATTAATGTCTTGGTACATAACCTATACCTACATACATTATTATCTACTAGTTTTTTAACGCTCCCAACGCACAAAATTACATTTGCGTTTATAATATTTTATTAGACATAGGAGTCATAGATTCCATTGTAGATTAAATAACATATATTTTTTTAAGGTACAGAAATAAAGATACATGAATACAATAAAATATTAAAGTGCAAAAAAACAAAGAAACGCCAAAACTTTTTACACTGTTGTGGTAAGTTGATTACTATTGACTGTGTCATGTAGTCTATTGCTGAACATAATATGTAGGTAGATATATAAAAGGTTAGACATTTTATAATATGAATCAAATTCGTGTAATCAATTACTTAACTGTTTACTTATTTTAACTTTAACTAACTTTTAAACTTATATTACTTAACTGTGTGTGTGTGTGTCCACGACATGATTAGTTTATGTGCTTCAGTGTACAGTTAACTACAGTTGGTGTTCATTGTGGCATATTACCGTGGTAAGTAACGTTATGTTGGGTTGTATTTTGTAAACAACTATCATGTCTTTCTATGAAGCAGCCAGTTTCAAGCTTGCAAGAATAAAATACGAATGACAGATGAGCTTTTCCCTGTAGTGCTAGATCATTCACGGATATGAGTTCATGTATGAAGTAGAGCGATTTTGTTGCCCTAATACTGGCGAAAAATACTTAAGGTGCAAAAATCTAACGTTATCTCCACAGTCTCACTATACTGTCCTGAAGATGGTTGATATGAGCTAGTAGTATGAGTAGTAATTAAAGCTACAATAGCTTTACTTGTTGATAATCGGTAGTTTTAGAAACCCTCCAAACCCAGAGGGAGTAAATCAGATAAGACAAAAACTAACATCATCATCATCAGCGTCATCATCAGTATTAATACCAAAGATAAATTGTCTTTTTCCAAAATGTTATAAGTATGAAAAAAACTTTTTCTGGGGCACATTCTTAATACTTAACCTGCTAAAACACTTTATTTTTCATTTTACAAACATTCTGTTTGGGAAGATACGGTAGAACAATAGTGAGAGAGCGATGTGAGCGAGCCTCGTTGTGCAGGAAAATGCAGTAACAGTTTAGGGCAGTCAATTTCTGATCCTGATTGGAATAGAAGACTCATCTATATAAATTTTCTTACTATGTGAAGGTGTCTGTAAATTTTCTTCAAATAACGGCGATGACATCACTAAGCATTTGGAAGGACATTGGATCAATAATGACTTGCAATGTACGTTGTGTGAATTTATTGGTAAAGACCAGGCGGCTATTGCTGCGCATAGGTATGTTATTATATACGCGTATCTTTTAATCAACTCTTTATTGGAAGCCACGGCTTAAATCTAGGTGTCCATATGCTGAAGGGTTTTCAGGGCTAGGTATTAAAAGATGGAATATTAATGATAGAATGTAACACAGGCCAACAAAATTTGTCAAAGTTTCTTTCCCAGAATACAGAGTATACTTTCCCAAAACATTTTGGTGCGCTGAATCCAAATTCGGCTGCAGAATTGCTCTATCAGGTCAGGTTTTGAGATATTCTATCCTAAAAGTGCTAAAAACGCACCTCAATGCAATTTTTTTGTACCTAAAAAAGAACACAGGCCTTTTTTCAACTCTAGTCTTTAGCTTTCAAATGACGTTGACTTTGCTAAAATATCTTTTTTTTTCCACGAGTTCGATCGAGTAAAGCTTCAATCAATCCGCAAGCCTCCAAACCAATCAAATACTGCCCACCACGAGTTCAGTTAAGCAAACCTTTAACTGAACTACAAGCCTCTAAGCTAAGCAAACCCTGTTCACTACTATCTCAGCGTTGTTGATATTGTTTAAAAGAAAGCTGTAAGCAGATTTACTGTTTATATGTGTAATTTTTCTTTAAATGCGTGTTGCAACTTGAAGTGATTGAAGGAGAAATTGAATTAGTTATTAAAAAGATAAATATAATTAACGAAACGAGACTCAGACAATTTTTATTTCAGGTATAACCATTATGCAGCCAAAACATCGAGTTTCACGTGCCACATATGTCAAAAGAAAACGAAATCTCAACTTACACTGCAATTCCACTATAGAAAGGTACATTTAAATAAAATTGGAGGATTGTGTTCACAACCACAGTGTGATAAAGCATACAATTCTTGGAAATTATGGAAAAGACATGAAAAATTGCATAGTCATCCGGGGTATATATGTGACTTTTGTGGACAGAAGTAAGTTCATGAATAGTTTGGTACCGTGTGCGTTTTTCTTTTCATCAAGTGAGTGAGGTGACAAAAGGCCCAACCGCACCTCTCTCCGCTCCATCTTTTGACTCTCGGTTTTCGGTTTTTAGTTTTTAAGCTGCAGGTGTCTATGGGAAGCAGTTGTTATTACTTACCATCAGGTGACCTGGGCCTCAATTCTGCTATTTTATGTTATCGCCAAACCACTGTCATTCCATTGACACGCTATTAAGATACCATTGAGATGCCACTAACATCGGTCAAAATATCGGTAATATTCACAGTGTCAATTGACTGTCGATATAGTTATATAGTTGATCAATGATGATATCAAAAACTTTGCCATATCATAAACATTAAATATATCATGTTCTTACAAATTTAAAATGTACCGTTTACGATTTTTCTCTCCATTTTATTCATTTTCATTTGTATCAGTGACAAGTCATCGGGGGGCCATTGGTCTTACATAGTTAGTACAATAAGAAAAGTGCAAAACTATGCCGACGAAATTCCATCAACAGTCTATTGATGCAATATTAAAAAAAGCATAATTGACGTCCTGGAGTAATTAATATTTTTAGTAAAAAGTGCAATAAATTTAGTTACAGAAGATTTTACTTCAAAACAAAGACGTTTGATTACATCTGCAGTTTTTCTTAGTAGTAGTTCCTACTTTTTAGGTCTATTACACCACTATGTGGTAAGTGTGATTCACAAAAGCCAAGATAAGCCGCAAAAATTACCATTGTAACCCCAATGCGCCAGAGTAGGTTTGTGGTTTGTGGCAGGTTACAGCTAGTATTCTATATTTTGAAATGTATTGCGTCAAATGTCAAAGAAAAATGAAAGAAAGGAATGTCGATTGCACATGTAAACTTTTGGTAAACTTTTAGTCATAGCCCATAGGTACTTTATTTTTCACTTTACTTTTTTTGTCAATATATATATATATATAGCTTGGAAAAAGTAATGAAAAATAAAGCAATCAATATTAAAAAAAGAGACAACTCTTTGATATAGCGATTCTACCTTGTTTAACATACGGATGTCAGAGTTGGTCATTAAGAAAATATAAAGAAGACAAGCTAGCAATATGGCATATATTAACCTAAAATGGAAAGAAGCATGTTAGGGATTATGTTTGTGAAATAAAGTAATTTTTAAATAATTAGCTATGTGATACGGAATAATAATGTCAATCATGCGGAAACGTAATTCAGAACATATTATAAGCTTAAATCATTAGTTGAAACTAGTTTCAACTATGTAAAACTTAAAACGCTTTCTATAATAAGATCGATGCTTAAGTTTTGATCTGCATTTAAAACTAGTTCCAGGCACTCGGAGTTCAACCGATATTTACGTTTAAAATACGGGCCTAAGATTACTGAAATGATGGCTAATGATAGATGAACCAAAAAGAAACGTTGGGCAGATATATTCTCAGTAAGACAAAGACCTACTTGGATGACCAAAGCCAGGACGCCTAAGCCAAGGAGGCGGCTACTACTTAGTTAAAATTTTGTGAATAATTTCTTAAATAATATTAATTTTGATATAATATACACGCAATGTCAAACATAGAATTAATGTTTAAAATGAGATGAAACAGAATTAATCAGTTTTTCAATAACATTATAATTATTTTTAAATAAAATAAAATACATATTATTTATGGCGATGAAAGATATCACTAATATTAATTATCACAATTAATTAATCATTATACAATACACTGGAAAATTATTTAAATATTTAGCACAAGCAATTAACTATTGTACATGCAATACAATACAATACTATATACATTCTCATCCAGTATTGTTGAAATAATTTAATAGTAGAATATTTTTTTACTTTTTATTTTATATTATATTTTCACTAAATGTACACGGATCGATTGTTAACGAAATTTATTATTATAGTATTTGCGGGTTATAATGTACTAGCTGTACCCTGCCACCCTTAGCTGTGGCACATTGTGGTCGCATTGATTACTTCACTTTCCTTTCTGCCAATCACAGAGATCATTTCCATTCATCCTTCTAATTGCTCCCAGTAGAATTGGTTTCTATAAAACCGTTATAAATATATTTTTAGGTACAGATACAAACATTCAATTGTGGAACATTTGGCTAACCACGTTAACCCCGCTACCTATGTTTGTGATGTGTGCGGTAAAACCTTCTTACGGTTACGTAATTTGAGGGTAAGTTAAATATCCTAAGGATTCTACGGCGTCTATTAATTACTTTTGAAATGTGATGTTAGTTGTGATACTTAATATGTGTAAAGTGTTTAGAAATGCCTCACCACTACTTGGTTCACTCGTTCCTTGAGTTAATGATTGATATTAAATTTAGTTTCAATGGCTGTGAGGTAAGGCAGTATGCTATGGCTGTTCGCAAGTATCAACTATTATTAAAAAAAACTTTTGACCTTAAATCCCTTCAACAGTTTGAAAGGAGTTGATGTTCTTCAAATCGCAGAACAGATTTCTTGGCTTATAGCTACACTCTTCATCAAGTCATCTTAAAAACAAACCAACAAAATCTTCATCAAGTCAAACAAACAAAAAACTACTCAAATAAAAAATAGATAAATCACATGGAGGAAAAGGTTACCAGAATATTATTATTGTTTTTTGATCCAGAAACTTTTCCAACACAAGTAGAGCACTTGTGGCTGTTACCACGGTGTTGGTGCCTTCACCTTTCTGAATACGTCCTTGAAATTCACGTTAAGGCTTTAACCATTTATTCCGAGCAGTGAAATTTCTAAATTCCCCAGCCCATAAATAAAAAAGTTTAAAGCTGAAATATTAAAAGCGTTTATACCTATACGGATCATATTGTGGTGGTATAAGGTTTACATATGACGTCTTAACATCAGTAGTCAGCTGTGTATCTTTTCTTTCTGTCTATTGTGCCCATGAAAACATTATATTTTGTGTTGATACTATGAAAAGTAAATAGTAATGTACTCGATGACCGCTTAAGTTTATATTAAATTTGAGTTAATTACTTATATATAAAAATTTAATGAATGTTGTGTTTGCCAATTGATATTGTACACCCTTTTTTCTGTGGAGAGGAGATCCCCTCCAAATCCGATCGGATCGGACCAAAAACGGCACGCCATTTCCAGTACAGAATAAAACTGAAATACCATTAGTGGTATCGAAAGAGCCAGCATTAGAAACACACATTCTTTAAAAATAATACACATGCGTGATAAATTAGGGATATTGTACATCCATACCTTATTTATCACGCATGTATTATTTTTAACGAATGTGTGTTTCTAATGGTGGCTCTTTCGACACTAATGACGCAATAGAATTTAAGTTTTATTCTGTAATATTTAAAATCTGAAAATAATCTTTTTTTGTGTCTTTGTTTTTTGTTTTTAAAATTAATCTTTAAATGACATAAAGTACTTAAATATGTCACGTGAAATATATTTATTATAATTACCCAGAAAAAATATTATTTTACAATTAAATATCAGTACCAAGTTTGTCAAAAGAAATTAAGTCTCCGCAGGGTGAGATAGATGGAGCGATGCGATCTTTAAGTTAATTATTTTTTTAGGTGCACATGGAAAATGTTCACGTAAAATTAGATCCATTAAAATGCTTACACTGTGGCCGTATGTTCAAAAACCAACACTATTTGAGAATACATCAGAAATTGTTGGCGATGGAGAAAATTTGGAAATGTGAATTTTGTCCGATGGAGTACCCGCAACTCAATCTTTTGAATAGCCATTTAAAAAGCCACAGCGACGAGAGACCTCACTGTTGTCATGTCTGCGGATCGAGGTATTTATATCACCTTCGCATCGAATGATTTAGTTTTTCTTTGTAAGCTTTAGGGGTTTCAATTTTTTTACAATATACTACCACTATTAGGTCCTTACATATAAATTTTGCGTTTTATATAGAAAAGGTAAAACGAAGAAAATGTGAAATTATTTGTTCAATCAATTGCAATACTTACTATTATAAATGCACTTTTGCCATCTTATAGCTAGTTAATTGATTCCATTTCTAAAAAATTGTGAAAGCAAGAATCAATGAAATCTTTGAAGGTGGTTTGGACGCCTTATTGGAATAGAATTCGAGTCGACGAGTCTCGGTTGCTTAGCCGCTAGCTTTTCAATCGTGGTTTGCAATGATTGACAATACAGATCTGCCATGATCATCTGGGCATAATTTAGGAAGCTGTAGTGTATAACACAGGTACCCTAACACTCATCAGTACTCTTTCTGAGTCAACTTTCGCTTGGAACAGGACATGTCCGGTTCTCCTTAGTCTAGTTCTCATTAACTACAGTGATGAGCGCATTCGATTGTCTTAAAAGATCCATTTTAAATGCTAAATTCCTTCTTTATTGTGACGATTGAGTAATGCAGCGCAGCACTAAATGCGTATTCGTTGGCTTTATTCCGATTTCAATTTGTTTCAAATAAATTTAAATTGTTTTATCACTCACACTGAAGCCTGCTATAACTCTAAGGTAGCTTGCAAGGGATTTGCTTATACGATCACCTTTAATTCTTTATTGTCATCTGGGGTCTACGACCGTCCACAGGATTTGTTCTGTAGGTTAAAAGTGCATAAAAGAAAACGTTGGAAACAAAAATTAATCGTACTTTCTTTTACAGCAGCTTCCCTATACACGATTAATGTTTAAAGCGTTTAATACGAAACACATATATACACAAGCCTAAAGGGGAATGACCACTTCAGATATAGCTGCCATGTTAGTTGTACCTCATGTTTAAGATTTTAACAATTTCTGTTTATATTTTATAAGATTTAATCTGCTAATAAAAAATCCGTACTTCGTCGCCGAGAGAAGTCAAGAGCATCAGTAGAATCTAGTTAGTTTTTATTCAGTTTCCTTTTCTTACAATAGTGTAGGTAGAGGTAATTCGAGGAAGAGGTAATTAGAGCTAATTAGGTTGACATATTTCGATTGATTTTACTACATAGGTATTGGTATTTTTACGTTTTTTTTGTGTATTTGTCATGTCCTGATCAAATCATAATTCAAAACAAATGTTTAAATTATACTAAAATGATTTTGTGAGGGCACTACATAGATAATTTGACATCTGACATGACATGGCACCGTGGTTGTTGCTTGTTTAAATCGTAACATAAGACTGTGTGTGAAGTAATTATGAATCTGTACTTATTTTACTTTAAGAAGTCAATGTGAGATAGGATTCCTCGAAATGGAAACATTTGTTCTTCGCCGTCTTTACTGTGCACTTCTACTGCGGCACTAACATTGGCAGTCATTGTTAGACGTAAGTGATGTGATGTGATGTGAAATAATTTTAATACTAAGTTAAATTAAGTTTTTGAAAATATTCGAGTCAACTTAGTTGAATTATCTTTGATAAATAGAAGTTCGAACAGAGGGTATTTTTTTGGTAACTATGATAAAAGTTGGTTGTTCTGCAGATTAGTTTACATTAATACCATTATAATTATAACAATGCCTTTTTTGACACAAAGAAATTTGAAATTGGAATTCCTGAACAAACGCTAGATATTTGAGATCAAAGTGACCAGTTCGATAAAACGCAAATTTCACATGTAAGGACCTAAATACAAGCAAAAGCAGAGCTTCGGTTACACTTCCTCCACTTCTTTGAAGTACCCATGCATTATATCTTTATTTTTAATAATGCATTTAAGTAATTGTTAAATGGTAACATTTTGTTTTTAATGAGTGTCTATTTTCTTGATACCAGGAACCCAGAAACAATAATTAAATATTATAAAACAACTTTCAAGTATGGAACGTATTTTCAGGTACAAAGCGAAAAGTCAACTCGCCATTCACATACGGAACCACACGGGGGATAGACCATACAAATGTTCTATGTGTGGCAAAGCATTCAAGTCATCACAACTCCTAAGAAGACACACCATGATTCATACTGGAATCATGCCTCACAAATGCTTGCACTGCGAAAAAACATTTCTATGTAAGAAACGCTTGATAAAGCATTGTACTATGCGTCACAAGTCATTGGATATAATATGTAAATAAATAACTTACTCTGAATAATGTTTTTTTTTCCTATAAATTTGTTGTACATGACATGTTATTAATATAAAGAAATGTAGGTACTCTACTATCCTACAATACCTGTTGTTACTAGAGATGTAAGAGTGCATGACTGGATTGCATGTGCAAATTATGGTTTTTTAATCTTTTACAGTGAAGCGAACGAATTATGTAAAATTTACATATTTTTTTTTGGGTAATTTAAGTCCTAAATTATTGAAATTTAGAACACCCGACTTTTCTCACAATCTTCTCTGTTTCCTCTTATACGTCTGGATTTATAAACTTAAAATTCAAAATATCTTTATTTCATAAAAAAAGAATGTTTTAAATCGTCTTTTATGTAAACTCTAAAGTCGTAGATCAACACACACACACAAAAGCAACAATCTCTGTTGTGTCAAATAGTAACGAAAATAAATATAATAAAAAATATACTTAAACAAAATCTATGATATGCCTGTGCCGATCTAGAACCGCCCGTTTCGAAGGGGTTGAGCCTTATAAGAAGAAAGGATAAACAAACATATGGCCATTCTTTTGCAATTTATAGATAAATACAATGGCATCATCAAATATACAAAAATATTGTTCTGATGTGTTCCAGTATGTCCGTTATTAAGAACAAAAGGTAAAAAAGCAATAAAGAGAAATTGAGATTAGGAAAAAAAGATCAAATAAAAGAGAAATTGAAGTGAAAAATAGAAATAAAAAAATAATTAAAAAAAAACAGCCTTGCCCACATCACAATTCTACTTTAGAAATACGAGTAGCCTGCGCTAAATTAATCCCAAGCATTTTTGTCTTCTATGACAAATTTAAATCCACAATTGCGGATTTAAATTTGTTAATACTTAAGTCTTAATATTTTTATCTTGTTCATCGTTCATACTATTCTAGTCTAAATTATGAATCCAATTCAACGTTTCTACAAGTGAATGTCCGCACTCTCCTCTTCGGCAGAAACACCTTAGTAGTTGTTGATTGTTCAAGACAATGGATTCATGCTTCAATACCTTACGTTTTAAATTACATAGGATACATAAGCACGTATCATATAATGTTATGTTTAGGATTTTAAGCTCAAAAAAAGTTATTCTTATTTGTATGTTGTATAAGTATACAACATACAAATAGAGCGTGCAATGGAGAGGCCTATGTCCAGCAGTAGACTACGATAGGCCGATAATTATTAGTATACATAATATTGGTCAAAGATCTGTGTCGGGTAATGTTCAGTAGAGAATATACATATTGCACTCCGAAATAAACCTGAGACGATGGACCATAGGGGCAAATAAAAAAAAACATGATTGATTGATGACCCTTGTCTCTCACTCTTAGATAGGTTTCAAGCAACAATTCATAACAGCGATGTCGCCTTTAAAGAATTGAGTTTTAGAATACGTTAAAACATTTTCTACCAGAGGTTCGGTATCTAGTGAACACGAAATATGAACAAACTGCAAAACTTCTAATAAGATTCGTTTAAAGATACCAAAAGCTACCTATTCATAAATCACGAGTCGCTTGCGAACTCAACCGTAAAGTAACTTTACTAAAAACGAAAAATTCTTTTTAATTCACTTCTTTTTCAGTAAACGTCGCATAGTCTCAGCGAAATGCTATTTCAACTACGTAAGAAGGAGCGGTGTTAGCAGTCTTGTCTGCTCCGGTCCACGGGTCTGGAAAATTTCAATAACCTAATATTTTATGTCGGAGTAACGCCCAACTTTTGCATACACTGTTGGTCCATTTTTTACGCATTTCGTTTTGGTACTCGCCTTTATACGAAGGGGGAAAGGCTAATCCATCACCGTCGTTGGCACGTCTCGTTATCATAATGAATTAGTAGTCTTGACAGTTCGACGGAACATCACTAATTATATGAACGTAAATTGCTATTCCTACGGATTTCACCAAGAAGGAGGTACTTAATTCGACTTTTTTATATATATTATGTAACGCTATAATTTCTTTGCCATTTATGAATCGGTTAATACCATTATTTGTTTCATTGATCCCGTTTTTTTAATGTATGTTTTTACTATAGCTTGTTTGCCGAATTGTAAGTAGTTATAAGATACAAATAATAGTGACGACATTCAACTTACCCATCTGCCTGATATTTAGACTCGTCGAATTCGCTCAAAAGCGAAGTAGAATAGAATTTGTATGTGTTACATCTTTCCTCTAGCTTTGAAAAAGTTGGAAGTGATTAAGTAAACAGGGATGGAAATGTGTAGCAGGAAGCCGGTGAAGCGCGCTATTTGATTTGATTCATTCATAATTATACTACTGCAATGCTCGCTAGTTCTTTTTAACACGCTTTTATTAGCTTGGTAGGTATGTATGTATGTGTGTGACGGAATTTTTGAACCTGATTTTGATGAACTTCAAAACGCCGCATTTAATTGAAACTTCACACATTTACTGAGGACCAACAAAAATGTGATAAATTTGATTATGCGGGTTAGAATCTTCAGGAGTACCGGCTTCTCCACTCCTAAAAATACGGTATGCTATGTACTAAGAGGTGTGTGAGAAGCATATGTGACTTACTTACTTGTTACATTTTTAGTCCTAATAAGAAACTAATCATCATTAATGACTAAAAAGCAATGATTCATGGTAGTTTAAAAAACACGATTTTGTAACTAGTGAGTAGAAAATAAATTTCCAAAAGTTCAAAAAGAAAAATGAAAGAAAAAAACGAGGGATGCTTTTAAGGTATTTTATAATATAATAACTTTACTTTAACCAATCTCTGTCATATATTTCTACAACAATTGAGATCTAGCACCCCACGCACTTTTTTTTAGTTCGACTATAATTTATTATTACTTCAGCAATTCGGGTTCATTACTTGAATTTTATATTATACTAAAATAAACTGTCAAGAATCAGTAAACGGACTATTATTCGGACGAAATATTTTATTTAAATCAGAAATTTTGTCAAATTAATACGCGTGCTTGCGATGGCTTTGAACAAATTACGTGTTCCCAGCGACACACGTTTAACACCTGCCACCTAGACATGGCCTTATAGTAAGAAAACGCCCACTTAGTTTATTACCTCTAGAATGAAATGATATCAAGCAAAGACGCTCGAGACTCCTGCAAATTTCTCTCGTAGGCGAAGTATTTATGATCTCTCGGAGAGGCACCTGGCCGATGTTTAGATGATACAATGCTACCGAGTCAGATAATTTTGCTGTTGGTACTTCGTTATTCCATACCATGAGCTACGATGCAACACGCTGCGATTCGCACATGATCACCTGCCACTTGGGATCTTTCCTACATAAACGTATCTTCCTTTACCTATCAGTATCTACAATATTTTCTTTTCAAGGATGTTTGTAATATTTAGGGTAATTTATTTAATGTTGAATTATTTATCACAAGATTCAAAATGAATAATCCTTGTAGAAAAAAGTAATGCAGCGTTTGAGTGGGTTAGTTTTTAGTTTACAATAAGAAAGGCATCATTACAATCCATTCACTAGTTAAGGTCGGGTTCCATCATGTTTCATTTGCTACATAAAATTGTCAAAATATAATGCCAATTCTTTTACACAAAATAATGTGATGGTCACAATAATGTGATGGATGGTGGTTTCTGTTTTTAATTTGTAAACATGTTATTTGCTCTAAAATGGTAGTTGTAAAGTCCGCCGCGACATACATATATACCACAGGAGTAGAAGAAACAGCAGAATATCTTTTAGAATCACTCGTACCTGACGATCGGCCGGAAAACGACACTGATCATCACCGACAGATCAGGCAGTGGGCCATCGAACCACCACTGTCTCCAATGTCTGATTTACCATCTTCAGACGAATTTCTCGGTATCATTAGATCCTTGCCACTAAACAAGGCTTCGAGCAATGATAAAATATCTAACAAAATGATCAAAGAAGCTTGTAAACTTTCGGGTGACACGATTTTCCTTGTCTTTAAACGTTGCATTGCTGAAGGAATATTTCCTCGTATATGGCGGTGCGGTAATATTCGTATAATACCAAAAAGTGGCGACAAGCCACCGGATGATCCTAAATCCTACCGACCAATCACATTATTACCATCGTTAGGAAAGCTTTTAGAACGTCTTGTAGTGCCCCGGCTTCTGCCAGGTGGAGTCAAATTTCATGATAGACAATTTGGATTTACGTTGGGTAAATCGACAACTGACGATGTTATATCGGTTAGAAAGTTTGTCACAGAGTCAAAATTTCAATACGTGCTGGCTATTTTCTTAGATATATCTGGCGCCTTCGATAACGCATGGTGGCCTCACTCTCACTCTGTGGTAACTCTCACTATGAACAGTCTGCTCATCATATCCTCTGGGAATGTAGTCTTTGGTATAATGAACGTAATATAATGCTGAATACCTTGCAGGTGACATCTGGGGCGGTATACTATGGGGATCTTGTGTCAACTAGGGTGAATTTCCGTGCGTTTAGGCGATTCTGCCATACATATTATAGAAATCAAATATAGCTCATGTAGGACCCGCAATATTTCGTGGCCGTGGTGCTTCCCTGTTTAAAAGGGTGTATGCCCATTTTATTTCATTTTGTCTCCCGCTTTGCTAAGGAGGGAAGTGGATTTACTGTATTTCCAACTCCTCCAATTTTCTTCTGATTAATTTCGTTGCGGGTTCCAAGACAGTTTAATTTCTTCCTGGGACTTCCCGAGTGTCATAACTCGGTGTGTTCGTGGGTCACTGCTGTGGATCCTGGTGTACAGGAGTTACAGTGGTGGGCATGTGGGCGGGGTTAGTCCCAACTAAAAAAAAAAAGTCCGCCGCGACACAGGATATGTTCCTAATGCGGGAGTTGTCTTTTAAAAATAAAAGATTAAATTAAAATAGTGCTTTGTACAATGAGTGAATAAAATTGTATTATTTCTTAATTTAGGAATTAAAGAAATTAATGTACCCACGTTGGACTTGAAGATGCAGTTACAACG